TCATTACCAGGATTTAAAGAGGGGCCTAGTTGCACATTTGTCACTTGGCACACCTGCACAGAACTTTTGTGTCATTGTTGATACAACTCTGGATACCACTGTGGTCCTAGCCTCAACAGCACTTCACGCTGACTGGAATCAGAAAAGCAAATTCGATAAGGACCTTTCAACGACATATGAGTTGGCTCTACGTTTGTACAGCATAAAATCTGTTACCACAAATGCTGCCAGAGACATCTTTAAAGTTGGTTCAATTGTGTTTTAATGAATTTCTTTTCATTTAACAGCTTAACGGAATTCCACCTGTTCGGATGACATTTAGTGTGCTTGGCATCAACCACGAACGCCTGGGGATACCGGTCTTAGGTGATGGCCATTTTGGTTTGGGTTACCCATCAGCCAGAAGGAGATTAGGTGATTCCTACATTCTCAATGTTTTAGCAGAACAGCAGCTGATAGACTACAAGAGGTTCACTCTACTTTGTGTATGGTATGTTACATAATTCGTATCGCTGATCTGATGAGAAATCAGTGCATCAAGTTTTTCAGTTCTCTCATTGGTAACGCGATAAACTGGTCGATTTTTCTTCTCTTCTCAGTGCGGACCATCGCAACGATTTTGAACCTGACGCTCAAGTTGTGTTTGGGTCTCATCACAAAATCTACCCAGAAGAGTTTCACATGGTACAAGCAGATGTTAGTCATGGAGGTTGGAAGATTGAAGTACTTGGGTAAGTACCATATCAGCGTCAAATGAACAAACTAAAACGCCGGATCAAGACACGTATTCACTGATTCCGAACTTTCATCTCACTTCTAGTCTCAGTACACTTGCAGGACAGATTTCCTCGATAGGATTTACGGCATCGCTTGACAGCACCACCTGGTTAAAAGGATGATGCTTGCTTATCCAATCCCGAGGAATTATTAATTCCGGGTTGCAAATTTGGTGTTAAAAGTGAATGGAAAGACGTACCTTGATTCAAACATTCATTCACTGAATTGTTTTAAAAACATGTCAGAAACCTCGCCGTTTATGTCATAATTTTAAATAACTTCAACAAACGCTGCGGTTTTTTGGCTATAGGTCCCTGTGTTGAGGGTGATAAATGATCAATATTGGTATGTCTGTGATATTCCTTTTCCGAAAACCGAATCTGCCTCGTTGTGTTTTGTTTTTCAAAATCCCATACATAAACAATGGTTATTTATTGTTAGTTTGTTTTACTTAGATGGCTCAGATCATTTTAATTGCGGCAAAATTGCAACTTAACAAAATAGCAAATTTCATCCTCCAAGGTGAGTTCACCAGATATTTTGCAATTTTAACTGATTTGTGATTTTTCTTTTATCAAAATGACGTAGATCACAAGCACTTCAAAAACGTACAAACTCG